TTTTGAACTTTTTCTCTTTTGTGTCCTTTTTTCTTTTTAGTCCTTAATTTTTTTTTTTTTTCTTTAACATTTGCAACACATATATGTACGCGTTTTAATGTTTGTAGCTAAATTATATGTGAATAGCTTTGTGTATGCTTGTTTATATGTACATACATAAGTTTATTACATAAAGGACCAAAACGTAAACAATGCATATATCATTGTACACACATACACGACATACACATATGTGTAATAGTATAACGGATGAAAAACAATTGAATTTTGATTGTTAAGTTTCGACTCCATTGTTTCAATTAACTTTCTATACTCGTACATGTTTTTAAAGGATGTAATAATTTTTTTTTTTTGTATTTTATTATTGCTGATGATTCATTGTGTCTATTTGTATATACAATCTACTATTATGGAGTAAATTATGTGGTTTTAAGGGAGAGTGTGGTAAATCGAAAAAAATGTGTTTTAAATTACTTGAGATTTTGGAATAAATTTTTTTTGAAAAACTTTTTTTGTTTTTATAACTAGACTCGAACTAGTGACTTGCTTCTTTGTAAGTAGACGCTCTACCACTCGAAATTTCCATTAGTTGTTCTTATAAAAACAATGAATTTAAACTATTGCACGGTGTATTTGTTATTACTAATATCATTAGCGTAATAGGCTCAATACCAATAATAATAATAAATATTGTGTTCTTGTGATTGTGTGTTTCAAATAGAAGATTTGTAGTATTTTATGTAAACAATACTTGGTAATCATGTAAAATATAATATAAAGTAATGTGAAGAACAATTTGCTGGAAATTTCTAGAAAAATTTGCCGGAATACCTCTGTAGCTAGAGCGGTGAAGCGTCCGCCTAGAAAGAAAGGTACGTCACTGGTTCAAGTTTAGTTCCATAAGAAAACATTTTTCTGTCTTGACTCGTTTCTTTGAGTATGTCATTTATTTGTTCTGCAATTGTGTACAGAAATTTCCTTTAGTTTATCGATATTTTGAAAAAATTTTGAATTTTTACACTTTTATATTAGAAACTTCGCAACAGATTAAGGTAAAATTATAAAATTTTTGCAAAATATTGAATCATATTGAATTCGAAATGAAACGAAAAATACTGAAATCTACTTAATGAATTGTTCCTAGTAGCCACAGGAAGATGTTCTTCAATTTTCGCGCAAATATTTTATGTGTACGTACGTGTGTTTTAATTATTTGTGTAAAGAAAAAAATTATTTTTTATATCCTTTGAATTAATTATTTCACAATTCAATAAAAAAAAATATTTATATATGTGGTTGTGTGAATACATGCATACATATCAAACTAAAAATAAAAGAGATTCGCCCTTCTAGTAATATTTTCTGCTTTTATGAATTTTTATTTTTGGTTTCAAAAAGAAATACAAAAACAAAAACCTTCAATAAAAATTTTATTTTAGGTTTCTTCTGTTTTTTTTTTTTTGGTTTAATCAAATCAAAGTATCCTTTTTAAATGAATTATTTTTAATATGTCCATACACATACATACTCGAACACATATCTAGTTTATTCTATATTAAAAGTTGATATTTTATTATTAAATCTGGATCTATAATAAAATGATGCTAATGGAAGAGGAGTGAGATTAAAAAGGATATTGTATTTATTACAACAAATAAACATATTTTTAATTCTTAATCAAATTCCGGTTTGATATGTTATGTGAATATTGTTAAGAGTAGTACATGGTGACCATATAAAACTTTAGATTTCTCATAAAAATGTGTATTATAACAATAACTAGCCTGAATGTGTAATCCTTGATCGAATGCTATGCCTTATAAATATTTTATATTCAGTAAAATTTCTGAACTCTTTCAGACCTTTCTGGTTATACACAATATATGGTTAGATTTATTGAATTTTTTTTTAAATATATTTGAACACGCTACATTCTGAAAAAAATTCTCCGAACAAAGATTGATTAGCATTTTGAGTGTAATAATTTGTAACATTTTGCTCCACCGTTGAAGCTTTCATTGCTATGTTTATTGTCATAACAATTATTAATAATTTATTTATTACCTTTCACATATGCAATTACGTAAATAAATTTAATCATTTTTATGAACACTCTGTACACCGTGCTTTAATATAAGATTTAAATAAAAAAATTAAATAAAGAAGAAAGTAATAAAGTTTAAGAGGTGACTGGATAATAAATTATCCTTCGGATTTTTAGTTAATTTTTCCTCCTTTCATTTTATTATAACAAAGTTATATTTGTAATTTTTTTATATTTAGATCTTTCTGAAACAAGAAAAAATGTTCTGTGTTACATATATCATATATGAGTAAAAGGACAAATTTCATAAATAAGGAAGAAAAATATATAGATTTTGTTTTCATAAGAACTTATGTGGCATTTTCTCTGCCTTCACACACGTAATACAACATGATTTTTCAACTTTCATGTTAGGTTTTTAGCAAAAAACAAAAATTATTGAAATTAATAGTGACTGAAGAAAGTTGAAGTTATACTGCTTTTACATATTTGGAGGCGTACAAGGAAATCAATGGTTAGATAATATGATGAAGGAAATTTATGGCAAAATAATAGACATGCTAGGTTATTATACATGTTCATTAACCCAGTAAGGGCTACTGTATGTCAATTCCATATGAAATTCAAAATCTTTAAAAAATCTTAATACGAAGAATTTGATTATATGTTATTCATCCAACGCTTTTGTCGATCACATTGCTTAGTAAGGCAGCTCGTAAAACGGTACGAAATTGAATTTCGCGTTTTCGGTGAATTTTCGGCAGAAACTGGAAAACACTTGGTGATCTTGCATAACACTATTCTTCTTCTATTATCATGTTGAACTTGAAACTGAATATTGAAATTATATTTAGAAATTTTATATTGAACACATCATAGTGAGTTATTGTAGCTATAATGAATAATTCAGTGATCGTTATGGAAATGTAGCGAAAATTCAATACGCATATGTAAAGTATGCATATGCATTTTCAAATATTTTGATATAAAGACAGTTAATTTCTTTATAGAATAGCAGAGCAAATTGAGGACGAAAATTTTAGAGCGAATTAGAAATTATAGAAATTAAAGCAATTCAACCTCACATATTCCTTCAAGCCTCCTAATAGGTTAACAATAACTCATACATCTTTCAATTTATCTTCTCTTTTATTTTGTTCTAGAAAATAAATTGACAAGACGCTTCAACTTGACAGCAATATATTTGAAATTTAATTTATCAAAATAATATTGGGAAAATTTTTGTAATATTGGGAAAACTACAAATATTTTTTCTCATTTTCAGTTTAGTTTTTTTTTTCTTTTGATTATTGGAACAAGAACAGCTATAAAAATCATTATTCAAAACAATCATTAGTTATTAATGATTGTTGAGTGAAAATTACATATAGTTGATGATCTTTAAGGTACTTACATACCATCTCCTATACATAGGCTCATATCAAAATTTAATTGTGTTTACCGTTTTTCATTTATTAATAAACAAGGATGTACATAATACTCGTACATAAGAATCAGATAATAATCATGTACAACAATAAATTATTAATAAAATATTTAATTCAATTGAATTAAGCCATTAATCTTTTAAAACAAAGAATCAACATGAGGGCAATGAATTCCTTAATTTTCATAAGGTTTATTGTTGAATAAATTACAACGCAGCGCTATTAAAAGAAGCGTTATTAAATTTTGAAAAAAAAAAAATTTTTTCTCAGAATATTTGTAGATTGTAGATTGTGCAGACGGGATAACAGTGCACCGCGGCTACTAGGTGTTAGACACGCTCCTAAAACACCTCCTCGACACTCACCTTTCTGATGAATTCAATCTATCTGGAAAGGTCTTTGAATTTTGATTTTTCTTGTCATGATAGTGTCCCTGCAAATACTATGCTTATGTTTAATATTACATTGACTCTGATCATAAGAATTGTATTAATAGACGTCAATCTACTTGTTATAAAGTTAATTTAATTAGAATCAAATATTGTAGACAAAGACAGGAGTAAATTTTTAAAGGAGAGAATATTTCAATGTTTGTATTATCTCACCTCACTATTAAACCCTGGCATGTTAACATATCTTTTATTTGTCCTAGCTGCTTTTCTCAAGTTGAAATGGCAATGGCAATCTTAAAAAAATAAAATATTTTTTCCGGAGAATATTTTACTGCTACATTACTACAGAGAACAAAATGATCTTATTTTCTCTTAATTTTTTAAAGCTAAATTGTGTGTAGCATAAAGTGAGATTACAAAAGAAGCGAACAGCTTTAAAGCAATTTATAACATCCCGATTTTAATTTATTGAATTTTTTTTATCAGCTTTTTTTTTTGTTTCTCTTCTTTGAAAATAGTTTTATTGAATAAAAAAGAAAAATAGCAACAATAACAACAAAGAGAAAATTTTTGAAGCAAAAATTGATTTAAGAGTTTCTCTTATCTTCTAAAAATAAAACTAAATCATTCCAATATTTTATAAAAGTAAGCAATAAAAAATCCTTGCAATTAATATTTTTTCCATTTTTCTTCTTGTTTTTGAATTATTTATTTATAAATCGGAGTGTATATTATGTAAGGATGTGTGGGCATTATTCATATGAACATTTGCACATATCATATACAGACAATATGTACAAAATCTTCATATATATAGGAAAAAAGGATATTAATTAAATGGTATCGAATAAATCTGAAATAGAAAAATTGAAAAAAAATAATTTAGGACAAAAATAAAAGATAAATAACAAGAAAACTTTAATAGAAAAAGTTTTGTGCGTAATCGTCATGTCCAATACCAGAAAATTAAAGAAAACTAGAGAAGAAAAGAAATAGCATTTAGCTTTATTATTGTTTGTTTGTTTTGCTTTTTTAGTTTTGTTCTTATTATTTTGTAATTAATGTGTCGAAGTAATTAATTTCTCTAACCAACCATTTTAATTTTTATATTTTCAGATTTATATGAAGAAAAATCATTTAAGAACAAATAATTTTGTTTTTTTTTTCGAACTTTTTCGAAAATATTATTGATAAGGAACTATATCATTATAATAAAGAGAATGGAAATGGCAGGAAACAACTGTCACAAACAAAAAGGTAACTAATTAATATTTTATTTATTATATATGTAATTTAATGTTCACAACCATTCGCAATTATTTACAACGGCATACATAAATAAGTTCAGGGTAAGTTTTGACTTATTCTACGCCCTATACGGTTTCCGAAAAGTGCGCTTAACTTCCACCGCTTTCAAGGCAATGAACAAAATACAATAAACATTACACATTGCAGGTAATCAATCACATTTTTGAATCTTTATTATGTTGAATAAAAGATTAGTCATAGAATTAAAGCTTGCTTAGTTCTATAACTGAAAACCTAAAATTTAGTTCTATTTTTTCAATAGTGCCCTGCTTTCCGATGCTCATTTACGTATATGGTCGATCCAGCGCTGCATATCTTAAAGTTTTGCTTTCATAATTAATTTTCACTAATGTTATTGAAATTTGAAGTCATGCATTTTTGCAATCCTTATTGCCTTAGTTTTTTACGAATACGAAGAGGCTATTAGTCCAGCTTAGTTTTCACATTGTTTAAGAAATTCCATTAGGTCACCTGAAAGGGAAGACTTTCCACTTTAACTATAATTTTTCTGAATATTTTAAATTATCTATAAATTAATGCCGGCAAAATAATTCCTGTATAATCCATAGTCCTGTATAATGTTGGAGCAATAGAGTTTCATACATAATATTAATACAAAATTAATATTTCTATTCATCTTAATTTTTTAATATAAACATACACATATTTCGAGCATCAAAAAATTAATCAACAAGCTCCTCCGACATATTTGAATATCCTTTGCCCATATATGATATCATTCAAAATATTCGAAAGAAAGTTCATTTTAATTGTATATTGGGTTAAATATTTTATATAGGTTAATAAAAAGTAACAAATAATCAATTTTGGAAAGTCCCCAAGCAGAAGTATGAAAATTAAAAGGTACGTCATCCAAATATATAAAAGAAAATTTTTGTTTTATTCATATAGCACGTAGGTGGTGTGTAAACATCACCTATTAATGCTCAGAGGTGTAAAATGTTAATTAAAAACAGTGAATGAAAGAAAATAATTTAAAAAAAATCTGATGTGGTCAGCACATAACCGACCGCATTGTGCATTGTCTAGTTAAATGAAAGGGTTACAGAATATTATAAAAATGTCTGTTAAATACTTCTTTCCAATTTTTAGGACATTAGTAAGCTTATAGTTAACATACTTAGAAAAATGTAAATTTGGCTCTTAGTAGAGTTTCGCTTTGTGCTACCCGAATTCCCTGAAATGCTCGCCAGTTAGTTTCGGTAACAACCAGAACTCAAATATCAAATTTCAAGAAATTCCATCAATTTGTTCTGTGGATATGGTGAAAAATGTAAAATCGGCCCGCAAATCAGTTCTCGAGCCCTGATCTTTCCAAAAAAGTTATATGTTCATTGTTTTAATATGAGGAATTCATATATTAAATTTCAATGAAATCGGTTGATTATTTCTCTCTATATACACAAAAATGTATATTTGGCCCGTAGTAAACGTCTAGTTGCCGATGCCTGATTTCTTCCAAAACATACGAATTTTTGCGGACGGTCGAGCTGAGCTTATATATAAAATTTCAAGTAAATCGGTTGAATATTTTCTTCAAAATGTTCAAAAATGTAAAACAGGCCCGCTAAAAAGTGCAGTTCCCGAGGCCTGATATATGCCAAAAGTTGATCGATCCGTGCCATGGTGGAAACAAACTTACATATAAAATTTCATCAAAATCGGTTCAGCCGAACTTGAGATACACGCGTGCACACACAGACCGACAGACCGACAGGTTGCTAAAAATAGTTTATTTACACTTCCCTACTATGGAGAAGTACGTTCCCACCGAAAACTCGATATGCAAAATTTGTTGCCATCACATAACCTACCTATTGTTTACACAATACGGTCGGTAATAATATCTGTTAGGAGTGTGATTCTGAATGTTGCAAAGCAAATATTAAATAATATCAAATTAAATGTGAATTCATATGAGAATTCATTAAAATTTTTTCGAAATTCTTTAATATCACCATTGGTAATTTAAAATTTTCAAAATAAATTCATTAAACTAGAAAATATATTCATGTAGGTGGCGTCATAAACATTCTGAAAATTAAAATTTTTTCAACAAAAATAACATTAATTGTCTTTCTAAATTGTCTAGAATGTATGAATTATGGACGATTTAATTTTTGGGCTTTAATAAAATTATAATATTGTAAAAAATATTTTCAATCTTAAATTAAAATGAGAGGTTAATGAATTAATCATGCAATTTATTTAAGATTCTTTAAGGTATCTGAAGTCAAATGATAAAAACTTTAAAAATTTGTCAAATCTAGCCGATTTCATTAAAGTTTAATAGATTTTTTTAAAGCAATTACTGAGTATATTTTACATTGCAGTACAAATTAACATCTTGTATCAAAATTATGACTCTCTTTGCCTGCTGAATTTAAAGCAATAATGTTAAACGCAGCATAAAATTTTTCTCAATCTCTCATTATTTTTAGAAGCAAAATCTCTCACTATTTGCATAATAGTAATATTAGTTCTCATCGGTATTCAAAGTGCTTGTTGCGAGTATTTTACATTTAAGACAATTGAATGCTAATGTTAAATCAGGTTATGAATATTATCTGTTATTTGTCTCTGCCTGTTATTTGTTTAATGATTAAAAGAATTTTAATAGATTATGACCTTAAAAAATTTTTTTTAATTCTTAACAAGTTCGAATTCCAACAATTACGATGTCAAATATTTAAATACATACATATAAGCAAATATAATTATTTACACATTAAAAAATTTTTCCAAAGATATTTTCAATTACAAAGAATTTGTGTTACTTTATTTCCGTTTAAAGTTGGCACACACTAGGAGATACACTTAAAATTCTCTTTATCATGCCCCATCATAGAGAAATAAAAATATTATCAAGTAATATGATGAAAAGTGAAAACTTCTTTCTAAATTTTAATAAGAAAATTTTTCACTTTTTATAAAATTTTTACTAGAAATTTAAAAGTTTTCTTTGATAATAATTAAAATTTGAAGAAATAAAAGAAAAACTTTTCAAAAATTAAATAAAAAATTCTTTTACAAAGTCTACAAAGGACTTTTATATAAGAACTTCTGGATATTTTCTAAATATTTTAAATATTCTTCAATGGAAAGTTCAAGGAAATTCAAGGTAAAAATATTTTTATCTTAAATTACAAATATATTTTCTTAGTTCGTATGTAGTTTTGTAAGTCAAAAGTAAAAAAAACAAGCAAAAGAATGAATTCTGACAAGTTATAAAAATAAGTTCTAAATATTTGTAAGACTGAAAATAGTGGTACATGTCCGAAAAAATTTTTTAGAAATTTGGTCGAATTTTTATTTAGTTATTTAATTTTAGAAGAAAAGCATAGTATGTGCAACATTTGCTTTACACAAGTGTCCTAAAAATTTCAAGAAATCCTGTTTTTCTGCAAGTTTTTAATCTATTTTCTTTGTTTAAGTTAAACTCGGTCTTACAATGAATGATTTATATAAGTCTAAGTAATTTGAGAATTACCATTTTCAACAGACACATCTGACACATTTTTGATTTGCCTCGCATTTGCTGAATTATATCGACATTTTTACAGTCGAGCGAGGATCTTGTTGTTGTTTTTAACAGTAAATTTGACTGGCATGATCATATAAATTTAATGACATCTAAAATCTTTCTTAAACTCAGAACTCATTGGAGATTTTTTTCGGTTTTTCTTCAGGTGACTAGGATTAAGTTGATACAAATTCTATAGTTCTGCACTTTTTCCATTCTAATATCATTTTCAGTGTCTGTACCAAATTTACCGCCAATAGATGAAAATTTGACAAGATCTCAGATGGAAAATTAAATTTTTGCCCAATTGCTGCTTCGTTGAATATCTAAATTTGAGATGTGAAATTTACTAAACTATTTAACAGGATTCTTGATGATGATTGTTCGAAATATCTTCGTAACAAAATCAGGAGGGGTAGGTTGATTAGGTTATAATTTGCGAAATACCTAGGCATACTGGACATCGTAGATATCTGCCATTTTCTGTGAAAATTGTCTTCTCTATGAAATAGTCTCTTCGTACTAGTTAAGAGAGTGAAGAATTCTCGAGTATATAATAGGTTGTGCAAGCAATATTTTGTTAGCATCAACTAAGACAGTTATCATTAAATATTAAGCTTTCATATTCTATAAAATTTAAAAATTTTATTTTACAATCTTCTTAATTATATTTTTTTCTTTTATATTTAGTTTTAAGATTAACTTAATTTGTAATTAAGGTATTAGACCAACTTTTGATCAAATAATTCTGTGTGGTATAGCTGACAAGTACATACAGCGTCGGATCATTCATATATGCAAAGTAAGCATATGCAATGAGCGCCAGAAAATATGGGCGCAGTTATTATATGCAATATTTAATATTTATTGCATATTGTTTATTACACAGGAAACCACAGCTCAGATCCGAGCCTGAGTACATACATTGTTGTTCACAAGGTATTTGATATTAGATAGAGGTTGAAGAAAAAATTAGAATGCCATGGAATTTATTTTGAATAAGTCAATGCGGCCTCAACTGTTTCATTCCATAATGCATTCTGAATCCTTCCACAATATTTTACTCCATTACTTAAATTAATTTGCTCCATAAAATTGCTTTCAAAATTTAAAAATCTATTAAAACATACTTAAGGAAATTAAATAAGGATAATATATATTTTAATTGTTGCACCAACAATAATAAAAAAAAAACAAAAAGAATTTTTTATAATAAAATAAGGTGAAGTAGACTTTTTTTGCTAATTAACAGGAAGTTGGAATTTTTTTTTATTATTTCCAACTTATTTTCTATATTATAGTTATTTATTATAGTTTCCACCTCTCATAGTTTATATAGAATTTAAAAATATAAGAATGCGAAACTTTCCTTTCTTTTAAAAATAGTTTCTTGCTTTTTTTTTTA